ACCCACCCACCTTCCCCCACGGGGTGCGGGCACTGCGGAGCGGGGCTGCGGAAAGCCGCAGCGAGCCCCCTCCCCGCCATCGCTGGGCGGAGGGGCCGGGTCGGGAGCGCAGCGCCCGCCGCCGAGCCCGTCTGCCCGGAGACACCGGCGGGTGGGCGTGGCACGGTCCGCACTGCGGTCCCGGTGCCTGCTCGGGGCGGACAAAGGGCGGCGGGGATGGGCTGGGCTGGGGCTGCGGCTGCGAGGCGGCTGCCGCCCGCAGTCCCCCGTCCCCCAGCGCCACGCTGAGCCGGCGCGGTTCGGGGCGTTTTCCCTCTCGGCGGCAGAGGCTGCGCGGGCGGGAGCGCAGCCGCGCCTTTGTGTCTAACTTTGGGCGCTGGGACTTTTCTGTCGTCTGGACAATTTTTCAGGACCGAAGTTCTATATACGCGTATATATTCCAATAAAGAAAACCCATATGAGTAACAAGGCTGTTAGCCGAGGGCTCAGCCTCGTTATTGTCCGACTGCGGGCTCCTCTGATTCGGCGTTTATTTGTCCTTTTCTTAAGACGGCCATGCAGGGTGGTATTGCAAGTGAAATGACAGTTTTATAAGTTTTCGTTGTGGTTTCTGATACAATAGATTGCAGTGTAAATGCGGAGAGGAGAAAAAAAAATAAACAAAAGCCAACAAGCTGTTGCAGTATTAGTGGAATAAAGCACGAAGAAAATGATTGTTGGACCTTACAGTCACTTAAACTCAGTTGATAGCTGATTTTATGATATGTATTTTTTTGTTCTGGGCTGGTAAAAAAGAAGATTTCAGGAACTGCCATTGTTAAGAGTGGAGATCCCGGAACGGGGGAATTGGTAGCAGCCTTGTCATGTAGGTGTGGTTCAGCAGTCCAGTTAGGACTTCATCTGCGTCTCTATTGTTGCTTTCTCAACCCTTGTTGCTTTAGTTGGTTATTTCTCTGAATGCTTTTTCATTACTGTTTGAGGTAAAAGGCATCCTCATCTCAGCTAACCAGTTTCATCATAACCTGTTCATCTTTATTGCTACCATTGTCTCTTGGGGAGAGCTACTGAGGCAGGTGCTTTGTCATTCAGAGCTTCTTCAGCATTGCACTTCCTTAACTCTATCTAATTTTCAATTGTATTAGAAGAGAACTGGCTGCATTTTAATTAAATTGTCAAAGATTATAAAGCAAATTGATAAAATTTCTTCCCTCAAGACAGCTAATACCCTTCCCCTCAAGAAATGCTTTCCAGTCTTTTCTTCAATCTCCTATTGTACAGTCGCTGCTGCATAGCTCAGTTGCTGCTGTCTCCTGCCACTAAGCATAACACCCACTTACAGGTTTAGGTGCTCAGAGGGAGTGTTTGGCCTTCTAATTAATCATTTTGGATTAGAAGTCACCTTGCTGCTTCTAGTATCAGACCATCTAATTGAGAATTTTGCCTGCTAAGAAAACTCCTTGGTGAAATGTTGAGGTACGTTTTTCTGGATGAATACAGTGGGAGTCTGATGCTTTGTCTATGTGAGGCAATTGCAGGCTCAGCTAATATTTTTCTGTTTGGTAAGTCTGCTGTAGACTGGAAAAAAATCACTTCTTCCTGCCTTTATTCTCAATAGAGCTTTGAATGCATTTTGGTTCTTGATAACTTTGCTTTGCTGTCTTCTCTGGTACATCTCCTGAGTACCATCACTGAAAACTGTGGATTCATGCACCAAACTGCAGAGCAACGTGTCAAAGAAAACATCTGCTGATAACACATCAGTGGCGTGATGCTACGCAACCTGGTGGAATGCAGAGTCATTTCTTAAAATATCATGGGGAGGGAATGGTGTGGCAAGACGCATTTTCATTAATTGCATTTTGGATGTGACTTTGCTAAGGGGGCAGTTCTCCAGCCCACCATCCTCCAAAAAAGAAGAGGGGAGTGAAGAGAAAGCTTCAAGATTTTTCCAGTGATTTAGCAGATGGTACTGGGTGTGCCCTCCCTGCTGTCTGATTAGTCCTGTGTCTAGTGGCATTGCACTCCTAAGACTGCAGAAAGAAAGAAATAGCTCCAGTTCAGCCATGTTTACAGCAGTTATGTCCACACTGCTAAGCCATCATTGGACTGACCTTGGATTTTAGTTCCAGGTTTACCTTTGTTCCACCCAAGACCTGATTTAGTGATATCATAAATTTAATGCATTTTTCTCCGCTATAATACACATGCATAATTTTTGCATCCAGATTGCTGAATCATGCGGTTGCATATTTTGGATAGGCTCCCCAAATTCCAGCTTCAACTTGCGTGCATAGACCATAAAGGCTTTTATGCCCTTGGCTTTTTGTTTTTCCTATTTATTTTGAGTCCTGTATTTTGGACATTGCCTGGCTCAATCAGGCAATGATTGAGCAATCTTGACTACATCTTATCTGTACAGAATCTTATCCCTACAGCACATTAGGATCACATCTAAAGCAGCTAGGGGTGGTGGACCGGTCCTTCCATTAGCAGTGTTGATGAATCATAGTCCATGTTGTTTAACCGACCTCCAGAAAGCGTAGTTTCTCTGCCCAAGCTTGGTGTCACAGGCCAGGGAGCTGTTTCTCTTCAAGCTTCTTGAAGTTCAGCACTCATTCATTCAGTGTACTTCAGCTTTGTGATCAATGTCAGTTTAATAATTATTGTTTTCGTATGTGCTCTATTTGTATGGTATTATGTCATCTTGGTGTTCTTGCTCTCAAATATTCCAACACCTGGAAGATATTAAAGCCTGTTTAGATGTATTCGCCTGCCAAAACTTGTCCCAAAAATGTACCATATGGCCAAGTGCTTTCTGAGGAAACAAAGTAAGGAGACTTGCAGAAGAATCTTGCTGCTTATGCCTCTGAACAATGATGCGTCAGTCAGGAAGTGGAGGTGGCGGGTTATAGCTCAGTGATTTTTCTCAAGTGGTTATGGAACACACAGGCAATACTGCATTTTCAAATTTTTCTTGAGATTCAAAAGGCAGCTACTTAATTGTTGTTAGCACGTTACAGTTATCTTGCTACTACCTTTACTTGGATACTGACAAGGAAGAGCCCTGGATGCGTTCTTCTTGCAGAGGCTTCAGGCTCTTGAAATGCAGATGTTCATATTTGCATGGAGAACCTACTCAGAGCTGCAATGGGAGACTAGCACTGCAGATCTGGTTTCTCTGCTATTCCCTCTTTTCTCCTCATGCTTCATCCTGTAACATGGCTTCTGCCAGTCTGAGTTCTGACATTTCTGCTCTGTTGAAACAGAAAATACATATAGCATGGGAAGTGGCATTGCAGTAACATCCACAGCCTGAAGCCCTGAGAGAAGTGTTAATTCTACACGCATTTTGAGGGGTTGGACCACACCTCTTCAAGCATCTTGTCAAACCCCAAAGTGGTCTAATCCAATAATTCCATGCAAAGGCATGGTCATGTAGGGAGCGGCCACCAGACACTTCCTCACGAACAATCCATTTTATGTTTGCCAGTTCATTTCTGTAGATGTAATGATGGTTTTTTAGGGCAAAAAAAGAGTGAAATTTTGATTTTCAAAATTGCAGCAGTGCCTGGACTTACTTGTAGTGTTACTGCTTGCTCATTATTCCAAAAGTAGATTTTTCAGAACAATTTTGAAACAAAATTATATAAAAATCTGATTTTTTTCCCCCAAATTGTTCATTGAAATCTTATGGAAGAAAACAATAAACTTGTCTTTTGGCTGCAATTACTTTTTTTCCTGGTTAAATTTCAGTCCCTGAAATTTATTATATTATTATATAAATATATTATTCTTATATTATAAGAATAATGTATTTTTTGGTCATATAAGTGTCAAGTGTCTCACTTTTTAAGTAGCTGGGGGAAAAACAGTAGGGAACAGAGATGTGCAGTTTGATTAAAAAAAAAAGATCAAGCACAGCGTTTTCAAATTTTAAAACTAGAGTTCTGACACTTCATAAATAAAAGATCACTTGAATTTTAATTTAAAATATGGTATGCTTCAAAGATACTGAATGAAGAAGTCAGCAATTTAATACTTTGTATTTAAATATTAATTAGCAACATGCTAGGTAATGCTGTCTTTTTATTCTCTAAAGGGCAACATGACTGAAGTGTCCTCTGGGTGATTCACTCTTCTGTGTTTGTAAATCTGTGTGTTGGGATTTTAAAGTCATGTCAGGGACATTGGTAACTTACTGTGAAGTGGCTACTACTGCAGTTCTAAAGCTGGGGCCTTGAAGAATGGTCACCCTTTGGAAAGGCAGATGGTTTTTTTCTGATTGCTGTCAGACTCCTCCTGAGTGCATTTTAAAAAATAGCTTTGTGCCATGGAAGAAAGCGAGGCTGGCCTTGGAATTTAGAAATATGCAAATAGTTTGAATGCAAATAGAACTAGTACTCAGTTAAAACTTCCAGTGCTCATGTGTCAAGCTGCTTGTGTTTTGTATTTTGAATTTTAGGAATCCGATCATGGGACACAAACTTGGTCGAATGCAACTTGGATCAAGAACTGAAACTTTTTGTGTCTCGCCATTCAGCTCGATTCTCTCCTGAAGTTCGAGGTGAGTTTTGAGAACAGAACTGCTAAATTACACTCTGAAATTGCCTGGCCCATTAGTTTTTGGGCCTTTTTAAAGTTAAGTAAACTCACCTTTGGATTGAACAGTTTCTTCGTGTGGCACCAATCTAGTAGTTCAGTGGCGGAAGCTTATTGTGGTAGGTGGTGTACATAAAAAACAATAACTGGAAAGGTTGGCTCTATAGTGGGACAGAGCCAGAACTGATGTCACAGCTGTTGTACTACTGCATCTCAAGCCCTGTGTTTCTTCCCAAAGGACTTGAACTTAGTTATCTTTCTTGGTATGAGAAGCTGAGCTATGGTGGGTCTGCCTTCACTCCCAGGAACTTTCTTTGGCTTGTATGAGGAAATCAGAAATGTATAGGGCTAACAAGACTAAATCTCTTTTGCTGCCTTTTTTTCAAGCCCATTCTTCCTTAAGAGGATTCGTTCAATAAATTGAATCTTTTGTTTACCAGTTTTGTGAGGTGTAAAGTTTGGGTTTGGTCTGGTTTCATGAGAATCAAGTGTTCGGTAAGTTTTCTAAGATCTCATTACTCTTAATACCATTGCTGAATGAGTATGGATGAATTTGATCAGGTTTCTCATGTGAACAAATATGACCTTTTCAAAGTAGTAGAGGTTTCTGTCATTGGTGAAATCATTGTGGCCATATGCATGTTGAGTGCTGTCATACAGTACAACCTGCTACTGACTCGTGTTAAAAATTCCAGCTTCTGGAACATCTCTCATGTGTGGTGAAAAAGGGCTATGACATTTTGTATCATGCTACTAAATCACCTTCCTGATGTCAGTTGCTATACATTTTTGACAAAGAGACCCTGATGCCTTGCTAGCATGACAGCATTGACCTGATGGTTTTAAATAATGTACAAAAGTGCCTTATGTAATTATGTTTTTCTTCTTGCAGCATATGTTAAAGCAGTTTTTGCTGTATCTCCCCATATCTAGAGAGAGTGAAGCGCTGCCAGGGTTAAGAAAAAATTATATACTTCTATGATTTGTCCTCGGGTTTGAAAACCAGCATAACTAATAAAACAATACACAGCATGAAGATTTTTGAGTAAAGACATGTAGCCCCTTATTTATGTGGATGTAAACTGGGGCCTAGAATACCTGTCCTTCATTGAATTTTAAACGTCATGAAGCCAATTCAACATCTCAGTGACATTGCTTTGCTTTACAGAGAGGGAATTTAAGAAATGCAAAATGCAGTGTATCCTATTTTTGGAATATCTTTGTTTTACTTTAAGAACTTAAAGATCCTATGTTGCTCCTGTAGCAAAAATATTACAGCATGACTAGTATTTTTATTGCCTCTTTTAGATGATACATTCTAATACCACTGCAAGAATTAAAATAAAACAAATACTCTACTTTCATGTAATAAATAAGATAAGATTCTGCACCCCCTTTTCAGCAGAAAGAATGTAGAATTGTTTAGGAATTTTTCTCTGGGAATTGTATTTTTGATTGATTTTTTTTTTCCCTTGTTTGTCTAGACTTCGCTGTTTAATCTGTCATTGTGTTGAATTCTAGCTTAATTGCATGTGACTGGAATTCATCAACATCTCTGACAAGCAGAAATGAATGTGTTTTTCACTACTGCTCAATCTTTAAACAATAAACTGCCAAAGTCTGTGTTTACAAAGCATGAAGGGAGCCTGAAACTTGAATAAAGGCAATATCAAGGGATAAAGCTATCCATTTTGACCAACTTCCCACCTAAAATTTTGTGGAGAAGCGCATTTGTACCTTGAGAATCCCACTGTACAAATCAGAGAATTATTTTAGTTTCTTTCTGCTCTTCTCTGATGTTGAATTCTGTATGAGGCTCCTTTGTATCCTCTCTGCTGTTTAGCAGAGAGAAGGCTTTTTTGTTTCCACATTCTAATAAAATGTCAGAATGTTTACTTTGTAACAGCACCCAAATATTAAACTCTGGGTGTTCAACCATTGAAACAGTGGACTTCCAAAGATGATTGTAAGTATGTATTCCTTTATGGTCCCAAACTCCAAAATGGAATTTAGGTAACTTGGTGACCTTTTGTCCAAGGGAAGTATTCATCCAAGGTGATGGGATTGCCTGTGGAATGTAATTAAACAACCTCTTCTTTTCCAGCCCTTTGAGTCTGAAGTCTCTGTTCAGCTCACATATAGACACAGTTTACTCTTGAGGAAGGCTCCTGGTTTTCTCAGGTCTGACGGCTGGCTGACTGGAGCCTGTTTGATTATCATGTTTAATTATGGTAATTGTGGTGGTGGTTCAGTACATGCTTGTGTGCTTCTCAGAACAGCTTGAGGATATGGACAGCAACAATGTGAAGGGTAGCAATCTTTCTGCAAAAGGAAGCTTGGAGGAAATGGGGCCAATCCTGTCCCCATGCCAGATGCCTATGATGTCAAAAAAAAAAGGTGACAGAGATTGTCAAAGCATTCGTGTGTTTTCACTTAAAGAATTTAAGGTATGATGCCCCTCCCTGTGTAGTGAATAGCAATGTAGATACACCTTGTATTCAGCTGTTGGGCAGTTTATGAGTGATTTGCAATTCCTTAAAAATAAGATTCAGAGTGGAAATTCCTGCACATCTTTTCTGCTGCCTTCTAAAGCAGCTGAGTTAGCAGACTCCTTTGTAATAACAGATCTTGGAGAGGTGATGTTGCCAGGTGCTGGTGAAAAATGAGTAACACCACTAATTAAATGGTTGCCATGACAACAGGCAACATGACTTTAAAGGGGTATTCCAGTGGTGCCTCTGTTTTCTTTGTCATGTACTGCTAACTTCCATCTTATGGTAACATGAAAAGGACAAAAAATAATGCAAACAATGTACAAGCTGGAAAAGGAAATGTGCATCTGGTAGTGAGGCAGAACAAGTGGAGAGTCTTGGAAAGAGCTCATTTGAAATTGCAGCTGTACCTACCAATCTTTGCTTAATTAACAAGAAAGTTTCAGCTGCATAAAGCAGCTTCACAAAAGACCATGTTTTTGGGTGGAGTGGGGTGAAGCTGTTGAGGGCCCTTCTGTAAGACTTGTACAGTCGTATTTTTTCTGTCAGTTTCCATCTGGAGACACTTAACTGTTGCATTGGTGCATATTCAAGCCTTTGTCTAGATAAAATGCTTTTTATTTAAATAGCTGTTCACCCCCAGCCTTCTAATAAATACTACTCAAGCTATGCACTGTGGCTACTTTGTACTTTGTCCTGTGGTTATCAAGAACGTCTATGCATTTCCTATCTGAATAGTACCAGGAGGCCTCCTGTTGCCCATTAGCCAGTGCAGGGGCTAACTGCTGACTTAAGTGAGTCCTTCCTTTACCTGTACCTAGGACTATTTTATTGCCAGCCTGCTTGCAGCCAAAGGGGATCTTGGCAAAGTGCAAGATATATTTTATTTCCTCTTGGCAGCTAGCAGCATCTGCAGCCGCAGTGGGCTTGCCTCCTTCAGGCTTCCTAAGAAGTCTTTGCTTTATGATACTGTCATTGTTCCATAAAGCCTTAACAACTTCCCTTCTGATAGTAACCATTTCAAAAGTTACTGTTTCGGGCTGCTCATAACCTGTGGAGAATTTTTGGATCTGGGAATTTTGGTCAGAGCTGTGCACTGCTCTGTACTTCAACAAAGTGGTGTATAGTCCCATTTCCTTTGTTAAAGCAGATCTAAAACCAGTTAACATCATGCCTAGTAGCTTGCCATGTGAACTTGTGGATCACTAGTAAAATCCTGAACAGCATGGGTTTTGTGCTGATTTACTTGAAAACTGCAGTTCATCAAAATTCCTCAAGTCAGGACATAGGTAGTTGAGCTAAACCTATCATTTGAAATGAAAGAAAGGGAAAAGAGACAGGAAGTCGAGACCAGATTTTTCAGGCACTATCAGAATGCCGTAACTGCCTAGGAATTAATTTTGTTTAAGATCTCAGGTGGCCTGGTATGCACATTTAGGGACGTTCTGCAAATGTGATTCTTCAGGTATTTAGATGCTGTGATCATAGCTGGAGTAGCTATTGAGTGGGAGCATTTTAGCTCATTATGTGTTTGGGGAAGTTAATTTTAGTTGGCTGCTAGACTTGCTTTGTGTCTCGAAGTATTTGCGCATTGAAAGAAAGAAAATGGAGGCAGACTTGAAAAGGTAATTGAGCTGACTCACGCTGCAGTGGCTGCAAATAGTGTCCCTGCAGAGTGACCTGCAGCTGCCAGTGGTCCAGGGCTGCAGCCGTGGAGCTGCCCAGCAGCACAAAGCCAGGAGCCCCTGGGTCCTGTTGGAGGGTGTTGATGGGATCATATGGTCTGGACTGCTCCTGAGGTTTTTGTGGGGAGATGCTAGGATTTTGGTGGTTCAGGAGAGGATTACAATGTAATAGCCTCTTTGTTTGGATACAAGAATTGTCAAAGCCTTCTTTTCTTAGTACTATTTAAAATTCTAGAGATGGTCTAATAAGTCTCTTTATCATCTTTTTTACAGTGAGTAAGGTGTTGCACTTATGTGACAATCATTCTGGCATTGACTTCCATTTCTGCTTTTTTTAGGAAAGATCTCAAAGAAAATTAGCATGCATTTGCATTGCTGCCAAAACACTGGTACCTGCTGATGCTAAGCTGTTAGTGTGAATCAGCAAAATTGGTGAGAGGTTATTTTTAAATGCCTTATATCAAAATTAAATACAGTAAGTTCAATCGTTGTAGAATAGCCCCTGTTTTATGGAAACAGGTTTTGGCTTGTGTGAGGCAGCTACCAAAGGCATGGGATTAAGTTAGTTATGAATAATTATAGCATTTTAACCGCATTATGAAATTCGAATCCCCATTCCTCTTTATTAGAACAAAAATTAAGCATACCTAATATGCTTATAATATTCACAAGTATATTCACAAAGGTTACTTTGTTAAGGGTTATCTGATAGAATTCTTAGTATGTTGCTTGTGAGATTCCTCAATCTCTTTCATAATATTTTGTCTATGTGGGATTTCTGAAACTGA